AAATTTTAGTTTATTCAAGAATGCAGAGTTCAGAGATAATGATGTGCGCTTATTCTATTTACTTCCTGTTGTATCCATCCATAATAGTGTCCGCAGGCACGTGTAGGTACAGGTTGCTGTTTGTAGACGTCGCCTCATGCGCAACAGAACCTAGAGGCATCAAGTTAGACAGTCGTTGAGACACATTGAAAGAAACAAAGACGGAGAGAGGGAGAGAGAGAGAGAGAGAGAGAGAGAGAGAGAGAGAGAGAGGGAGAGAGTTTTTTTTTTTTTTTTTTTTTTTTTTTTTTTTATAAAATACAAAGAGGGATGTAGAAGGTTCATCTCTAATAGTCGAAAAGTAGTCTGCGGTGCAGAAGTTTCGTTGTTGCCCTGTTGAAGCAGGCAACGACACTGTCCCAGACCACGAAAAAAAACCGCCCACCACTACTACTACTTTCATTGCGCTAAAGCGTTCGTTTCAGAATGACCTGCTTGTGTATTATTATTGTCGATTATGGGTTCTCGAGATGATGATATTAACTTTAGGCACCGACCAATTCAAAACGAAGTCGTAATTTTTTTATGAACTATAATATTATATATCACTCTAAAAATGTTAAAATTAATGAATACTATTGTTAAGTATAACGATTTTATTTATTCTGTTGAGGTAATTGAATTTTTAGTCATGCAGTCCAAATAGCATAAAAATGTAGCATCCTTTATTTAGATCGTTTTGTAAACACAAAGAGGAAGAGAATATCTCGATACAAATACATGTTATATCGTTAACGGATGGTAAATATTTAAAAAGATAAATTTCATATTTTCGAAAACTTCAATAAATGTACTATACTAAGCACACATAAATTCATAAACAATGTTTATATATTCGGCATACTCGAAAACATATTATAATTTTTGTTGTATTCTAAAGTTAATTTTTCTCTCTCTTTACATTTCCATACAAAGTAAACAATTATAAATAACAATGTTCGAATTATACGTAATATTCAATTTATTGCTGGAATTACAACGGTCGCGAATCGCCAAAGGCTCACTTCGTCTTCATTAATGTTTTGAACGAAATTGCAGTTTGTTATTTAAATCTGTAAAAGTCAGTTATATTTCGCAGCCTATTACTTTTATATCATGTTGACTTAATTATTATAACTTTTTTCTTGTTTGTTTTTTATACATTGTGCTACGTTAAATTGGAAATTAAATTTAAACATCGGAAGATTATGAAGGAACATGGTATAATATATTTTTTGCTAATTTGGAGTTGATTAACTTGAAAGTTCGGTATTTTACAATATAAATCATCGATTTTTTTACGCACACCCACGCAATCGCGTATTTTATGCAAAATACGATGATGATAATTTTAAAAAATTTCCGCCAGATTCAAGGCATTTAATGTTATATTGTAGTTTAATAGTGAATTTCGTATCACTACTGAGTGGGCATTACAGTGGATATTTATTTAATATGTATAATCGAACGAAACGCGTTAATAAATTATTTGTAATAGCGCCGTAGTAGTCTATAGACGTGCCTTTGTAATTGTCTTTAAAAAGATAAGAAGGACAAAGGTATAAAGAATAAACGGTGTGATATAAAGAAAGTGCAAAATGAGGTCGCGTTTTTTGCATCGAGTTGTACGCAAAAGTTTCATTCGACCACGTAAGTCACCCTCTACACGTGCGTCTATGTACACTTATTAATATTTAAAATACGTAGGTTAAATTATATACTTAGAGTTGACGAGTGATACGGGTAAAACGGATGCATACAAATTCATTCTGTCTCTGTTTACGAATTTTGTATAAAGGAGTGCGAGATTATTGGATACCGAACTACCAAGATTAGCAGTATTATTCATATAAGGTACAGTTGTCCCAACAAGTTATTTTGTTAATTCAGTTAATATTATAACAGTGAAGCGTGATTTTTCTTTTATTTCATATAAAATACACGCGCGCGCGCGCGCACAGACAATACATTTTATATAAAAAAACAGGCTAGCTGGTAACCTACATTATAAAATTATTTATCGTTAATTGTCTAAAGAAAAAGAAAAAAGTCACTACCCAGTCGATTAATTCTTAAATAATACTATTATAAATAAATAATCAATAAATGAGATTATTCCTTCTTGGTCATTTACGATTACGTACCACAGCACTTAATAAACTGCGCCTTGGTGCAATATTTAGATACTCGGTATTAATGGTCTGTTCGGTTTATTAATATTTTTGTATATATCTGAATATATCTTTATTTAATTTATGAAAATACATTATAGCGTACGAATTATATAAATAATTTTACTTTTCCTTCCATTGCATGTCGCCATACCGAAAGCCATATAAAAACACTCTCGCACGCAAATACGCTTACACGCGCGATTGCTTTAATGTAGACGTATCTACCGTTTACGTTCGCCCTCGCATACGTGTGCGTGTCCTCGGGGAGCTCGTGTGCGTGCCTTCCTGTCTCCCTTTCCATTTTAACTCGTCGAGCGACGGGGACGCGAAGCTAAATTGCAACGCTGACCGCTCTACTCGCTAGTTCCGTTTACCGAATAGCCGGCTTCCGGCGCTCGCTTTTCTTCGCAGCTCCCCCTCCCCGCCCCCCTCGCTTATTTCTAGCGCAGTGTAACGCTCGGGCCGATCGATGGAGCTGTAGCAAAAGTAGCCGCAGTAACGTCACTGCTGACACATTCTTTTAATGTACTCGATAGAATTTTTGTGGTCTCTTCGAGGGTTGGCTGCGCAGCCGAGCTCGAGCGCGAAAGATCTCGCTAATTTATTTCCACTGCGTTTCGATGAGCAAGGGGGGTGGGAGGGGGGGTGGTGGTGGGGGTGGGAGGAGGGGTCATTGGTCGGCGCCTTTAAGTAATCGAGGCTCTTAAATCATTTGTCTAAGCTTTAAGTAATTCTTTGTTTATGGCTCGTTGATAAAGATGGTTGATTTATTGTTGATGTATTTGAAAGGCCACTCCGGTAGCTTTGAGTGGATAATTGACTGCTTACTCGTATATCGCTTTCTCAGTGGTCTGTATTTTTCCCTTTTTATTGTTAAATTATCAGGTGTTTAGAAAATAAGATTAAAGTTTAAGTGTAGAAAAAATACTACCAACATTTTATGTGTATGTAAAGTGGTTAAATATTGATCTCGTGTTTACGTAATCAACACTGTAATTAAATATTATTATAATTGCTTGCGATATATTATGTGACGTGGTGTACTTTTATCTTTAAAATTAACTAATATTAATACGATTAATCAATTCTTTTAATTTAAACGATAAGTATTAAAGTTTTTTTTTCTTTCCTTCTGTTCCATTCAAGATAAGATTTAATTAAATTTTATTGTTCGTTATTATTGCCTCAGTTTTATAATATATTTCGTTGGAAAATACTTACATTTACTTATACGATATTATTATATTGCACAATTGATTTTCGTTATATTATTATGACTTGAAAACTGCAGCTCAATGAAGAGTTTATACCGTATAGCTGCAGCTTCAAATATAAAAATATTAAATATTTTAAATATAATATAAATTTTAATATATAAAACATTCTCTTTTTAACATGAGAATTGAAGTATTTTATTAAATTAATAATAATAAGTGAATTAAGTTTTATAAGTCGTGATGAACATTGTCGTACATGAATATTCACATACAGTTACAATATATACTCTAATTTTATGTTAGATCTTAAATAAATAAATGTATTACGTATATTGAAAGTATTACTGTTTCTATTACAATGTATTTAAATTACGAAAATATATGAATTAAAAATTAATTGAATAATCCAAACATGTTTTGTTTAAATCAGCTACTAATAAGCTACTTATAATCATTAAAAATTTAAATTATATTAATATATATGGAATGCAATCATTACCTTTACATCATATTTATGAATATTATTGGTCGTATAATATTAATATAAAAGCTTTTCCGATTGTGTTGAAAAATTTTTCACCAATCGATTCGATTTATTTTTTGTGTAATTTTTCTTTGTATATATATATATATATATTTCTATTTTAATGTAACATGTGCATTAATTTTATTGAATTACATCATATATTTCTTTATTAAAAATGAGTAATGTAAATTAGTATATAAATTATTTTCATTTTTTGTAGATTGTATCTACGTACTAAACGATGGAAGTGTTATTCGTATGTGTTATTCATTTTATGCAAATCAGCACTCGGAAATGCTTAAAATGAATAATATCAAAATTAATAAACTATGTAATAAACTCATTACACTACAATGTTACTTATTGAAAATATTAAAAAGTCTAAATTGTTAATAAAAAGTGCTATATTCAAATTCTGACATTGGCCGCCTTATGATATTTAGAAAGTCAATACACATTCCAATTATTAATAAGACAATATTTTCTATCTCACATAGAGATATACGGATTAAGGAACGTGACTTTTTAAAAACCACTAAAATTCTATATTTAAGATTAAAATTTGAATTTTTTGAATCTAGACAATATTATTATTCGTGCGGTAAAACAGTGATATAAATTTATGGAATTTGTTACGAGTTTCAAAAAAAAAGAATAAATATTATTAATCTGTAATAAATGAATATATTAATATTACAAATTGAAAAGTATATTGTTGACTATGGATAAAATTTCCTATTATAAAGTATAAATAATAAATAAACCGTTGACAAGTATTTAATTCAAAATTTTCAATTCACTCGATGAATTAATAGAAAATAATTGTATGCACGGTAAAGAAGATAAATACTTTCGGTATATATATATATATATATATATATATATATTAAGAATGTACTATTAAGAATAAATTATCTAAACATTGTATTTTTGAAAAACGCAATACAATTATTAGATATCCGAACTTAATTAAAGAAGATTAATTTTTTTTAACCATGTAAAATTGTAATTTTGATACAATTTTTTATATTTTTATAAAGTATGTTAATACCTCCAGATACTCACCGCTTTTTTTACAAAAGAAACAAATCCGTAACCTTTTGATTTCATTGTTTGAGGATCCCTTACAACTCTACAATCTCTGTAACACAAAGAAAAAGAAATCATAAATCATAGGATTTAATAAAGTACGATTTAATTAATGCTTACTCGGTAGTTAATCTGATAATTATTTAGTATAATTTGTAGTATAAATGAATTATTTAAAATTGATATATATAGTGATGCTACTACCTATAAATATTAAAACGTAAAATTTAACTTATAAAATTATATCTCACATATATAAAAGTAATTATTCAAAGTCTGTGGAATTATTTTTCAGTTGACAAATCTAGATAAAATGTAAATTGAAAATGTATAGTGTGGTTTACCATTCTGTCAAAAGTGCTTTCATAGTATTTTTTAATAAGTACAAATCTTCTTAATATATAATAATATAGAATATATTATCTACATCATTTATAAGCATGTGAAGGTAGAATAATGAGAGAGAGAGAGAGAGAGAGAGAGAGAGGGAGAGAGAGTTTAAAATTTTTCAAGAATACTTTGCTGTTTCCTTTATGTTTTTTATAAAAATGATTCAAACGTTGTTATAAAGCATGGTCGTCTTTATGATTCATAAAATTTCCGAGCTTTCAAATACTAACATTTATCAATGAATAAACCATAAATTGCTATAGCAGACAGCAATCTAGTGTCGTTACTGGTCACTATTTCTCGCATCCGCATTCTTGAAACAGTTTAAAGCGCATATTTTTCAGTTCTCGCCATGCCATTAAAACAGTATAAAAATCGAGTCTCTCCTTGAAATTTTCAAGCGACATTTCACTCCCATCCTTAAAAATCGAGAGCGTTAAGAAACGTAAAATTTCCTGGCCCACCCACCCATCCCCCTCTCCCGCTCATAAAAGCAAGCTTTACGACACGGAACGTATTCGCGCTGGAGTTACGGAACGATAAAATGTCCACGGGATCAGAAGGACAAGAAGTAAGCCGTCTCCGTTCCCTCTATTGTTGTACGTGTTCCTTTTTTTTTCTAGACCCTCGGTTTCGTCGTCTAATCTGCTCAGTAGCAAAGACGTTATATGGAGCCACGGGGTAGCGGACAATTAACGGAGGTTTACGTCCCATCAAGAGCCTCGAAAGCTTTCTTTAATCGTGCCAAATGTATTGCTTTCTTTGGCCTTTCCTCTCCTCGTTTTTTCCTACTTTCTCTGTACATTTTGTACTTTCTGTGTTTCATTCATTTTTATTTGATATTTTAATTTTCAGTTGTGACACGAATATAAGGAAATTGGACAATTATTAGATATGCTACTTTTTACGTAAAAGTTATTCTAATATAAGCGTTACTTTGAAAACAATCGGTAACTTTAATAAAAATAAAATTTGTCATCCATATAATAAAATAATGGTGTCCTATCGTATGAGATACAGATTTGATTATTTTTGCAATAAAGAAAAATTCAAATTAAAAAAATTCATTTTTATCTGCTTCTGTTATGAAAGATTATATATACTAACAGTCATGAATATCTTTAGCTTGTAGCTTTAGTTGCGACTCTAGAACAAATAAATACTAATAGAATAAAGAACAAACGCATCTCTGTGTGTGTGTGTGTGTGTGTGTGTGTGTGTGTGTGTATCTGTATGTAAGCATATCAAAACACAGGGATGTTTTTACTCTTTGTATCTCTGTTCTTGCAGTTCTGTAGCCTGTCATTGCGTGTAATAAGGATAAATATCAGGGAACTATACTTTAAAGTATAAAGCGACAATAATCGAGTAATTTTTTAATTTTCTTGATGGTCTTATTAAACAAATTTAATTTTAATAATTATAATTGAATAGCTTATACACTGTTATTTAAAATAAAATAATCATTTAATTTAATTTATGGCATTTAAACGTAATTGGATTTTCCATATATATTCAAAATTCTTAATTGAAAATATATTTAATATATATATATATATATATATATATATATATATATTTATTTAATCCGTTAATTAATTATATTAAAATCATTATATTTTAGTTCCAGATTACATTATTATCGTAAAGTTTTTATCTATTTTAGCAGCTGCATTGTAATGTATTAAGTAAAATATAAAATTTTGCTACCATAGAACAACAGCATTAACAAAAATAGTGAAAAAAATTTTGAAAGTATACAAAAATTGTATTAAATATTTAAGAAAATTTTAATTATAATTAATTTTATATATAATAATAATCAATATAATCGTAATATAAAAAATTATAGAAAACTATGCAATCAGAATATATTATCTAAATTATTCAAGGTATCGAATAAATAGAAATTTCGAATAATTATCTTTTAAGAATATAATGCAGAAAAGTCAATCTTAATTTAAGTAAATTTCATTAAGAACTATTACCAAGAAAAACTTCATTGGAGTAAAATTTATTAGCCTAGTTTCAAAGTATTTATTCTAACGAAGTTGAGCTCGATCCACCATTATTTACAGATGCAAGTACGCAGTTGATTTTTTACTTTATAAGTGTTATTCCCTTAACGGAACATAATACGATTCTGTATACGTGAGAAATTAAAATTTAAAACTACATGCATATACTTGTATTAACCTGTACATGTAACTTTTACTTACTTTTCTTAACTCTGAGTGCAATCAAGGTTTAATAAAAGTACGCTCAATACTATTTGAAAATTCGATTGTAAAATAAATGTTAAATCTAATATTTATAACAAAGATATCTGATTATATAGCTGGTATCGCGCGATGTTATTGTTAAATAAATCTTATTTATAATGTAGCAAGTGTAAAAAATGGATCATTGTTTTCATAAGTTTTATATTTTAATGGAATTACCTTAAAACATATGTAGTATATGTTACATTATCATTCAAATTAGCTTTATGATTTTATACAATTTTTTTTCTTCTATTAATATGCATAAATAATAAAGATTATTAGTTATCGAGTTCATATTTCTATTTACTGCAATTCTATCTATGGATGCTCATATGTATGAGTACAAATACGTTCAAGTTTTTTTCAATTTGATGGTCATTCACAATTACAGCTCTGTTAATCTCGTTTTGACCTCAATGCAATACTACGATTACTGCCGAGTTTCATTTCATAGATGAAAGGTTATTTTCTTTATATTCACATGGATTCCAATTTCTATAGATTCTTAATATTACAGTCTTTTCATTCGTCTTTGACAAATGAAGCAATTTCTTTGCTCCCGATGTTACGCGAAATAATGTGAATAATCATCGTAATAATTAGCGATAATTAAAGTAATTGGCTCATGTATTTCACAAATATGTTTGCGATAACATTATCTAAATAAGAAAATTGTAACGAAGTTTCGTTTTAATTTTCATTCTGTGGGTACATTACAGTGCTGATATTTACACAGTATTTTCTGAATTTTTTTAATAAAATATATTTTAACTACTTTTTCCTAAATCCGTAAACTTGCCTTGTCCATTCAAAGTATTTATTCAAATGAAACTATCATCTCTACAAAAAAAAAAAAAAAAAAAAAAAAAAAAAAAACAAAAAAAAAAATTCTCGATCGAATAAATTGTTTAAAATATTCTGTGAATTTCGATCTCACTGTAATAAAATATTATAAGGATCTTAAAAAGTCTTAGAATTTCAATAGTGTTATTTATTTACTTTTTTTTCTTTCTATATTTTATTCCACTATAATGTTGATAATTTTTTCTTTTTTTTTTTTTTTAATAAAAAATAACGTGGATTTAGACTAAAATCCATTTTGGTTAATGATCGCGAGAATGAACCTCGTGATTTAAATAAATTATCACTGATTGAATTACCTCAATTGGCTTCGTTTGGAAACATCGAATGCATTGTTGTATAATTCATCACACACAGTTTCTTTTACCGCTAGACTAAAAAGCTTTTCGGACGCTGTACAGAATTGCGTTAATTCCTATGTACATTTGTTTGATATGATGGTTGGTAATAATTATTACTGTTGGGTAATTATTGTTGGCATCACGATGGTGTACTTGTGGGAATATAATAAATTGGAGCAATTTCTCATACTTTTATAAATTGATTAATTTACATCAATTTATTATAAATTACATCACCCTAGATGAATAGCCGAAATTTATTGGACTGAAATAATTTTGTAATGATTTTGAAATACGTTTTTTTTTTTTTTTTTTTTTTTTTTTTTTTTTTTTTTTTATTACGCTGAAGTGTAGTTTAACTTTTTTCAATATTATATTTATATTATTATGATAAGATCTAATACAATGGGCTACCTTTTTATTATTGAAAGTAACTACATTGTTCGAAGATTTTTGTTAGAAACATTACTTTTCCCATGTAATTTTATTTAAGTAGATCATTGAATTTTCTTACTTTTTCGAAACATTATCGTTTTCCAACACGAATAGTTTTTATTGAACATTCACCTTTAAGTGTTCTTCGTATTCTTGATATTGAACATATTTTATTTCATAATTTTCTCTTTATTATAATTCTCGAAATTTTGAAAATTCTTTAAAGTACATTACATTATAAGTAGAATTTTTTATATAAATTATTTATTTATATAAGAATTTCAAATATAAATCTAATGTAACTTTATTTATTGGAGTATAATGGTTGAATAATAGGTTTTGTAAATACAATGTAAGCCTAAAACGTCAACTAATACAACAATAAATTATTCATAAAACTCTGAGTCATCTAATAAAAGTGCTTTTGCATTTAATATATAATTAATAAATAAATTGTTTTTTAAAGAAAAGATTTTTATTATTTCCGACAGCTTTTATAAATAATATCTAATCAATGGAAATTTTATAAATTCACATTTTTTTTATTTTCTCGCAGTCAGGTTGAATGTTAAATTTTGTTAATATTTGAACTCTATTCAGGGTAATATTTACATTTCTCTCTTTGAACTTTATGAAATCATCAATAATGATTGAGATACTTTGCAAGAACGAAACAAGCAGTGCATGATATCGCTAATATTCCTTTTAAACTTACTATTTCTGAAAACGACAGTTCCTAAAATAACTCGTGAATTGCATGG